GATTGGTAATTAGCGACTCTAAAACTGTTAAAATACATAATATCAGAATGATTTGCCTAATTTTTTATAATTTAGACCGCCATATTGGATCGGCCATTTTGAATTTTGAAAATCTGACCTCAGATTCGTAATCAGTGGCGAAAATAACCTTGGAGTATAGACTTTAATGAAAATAATTCCATTTAATATGCATTTATAAGGATTTTTGTCATTTGATCGTCCATATTCGATCGGCCATTTTGAATTTTGAAAGTTGCAATGCAGATTCTTAACGAGTATAGACCTCAGTCCCAGAATGTACCTTTAGCAACATTTCTAGAATTTATTTCTGCAAATTGTTTCAGTTTCAATGTTCATAACTTTTAAAAAATGTGTAAATAACTAGATTTAGACCCTTACAGCACAGACGCCATTTGGAATTTTGGAAATGCGGCAAGGGTTTCAAATTCTGTGATACTTGAAGCTTCATGCCACCAAAGTGCATTCAATTTCATTAAAAATTGATGTGGTTGCAGAATTTTGACGCCTCTTACTACATTTTGCCCCACTGTGCGACGCGTTGTTCGTGTGCACTGCCGAAAGTGAGGAGACTCTTGGGACATTGGTGAACGAATGTCTGCGACTAGCTGGCTGGATACCAGAGGTCTTGAAATGGCCCTGGAAAAGACCGAGGCACTGCTGGTCACAGACAGACGTGGTTATGAGCTCCCACGAATCGTGATAGACGGATTCGAGGTCAAGTAGAGTAAACAAATTAAATACCTTGGTGTGGAGTTGGATGGAAGGTTAAACTTCCACCACCACATGGCTACGGCGTCAAATAAGGCGATCGAGTGTGCGGCTAATCTTTCACGGTTAATGCCAAATGTTGGCGGCCCCCGTGAACAAAAAAGAAGACTGGTGGCGAGTGTCGCCCATGCTAAAATGCTCTACGCAGCACCAGCATGGGCCCCATCCCTGAGGACCAAAAGATGTGTTACCATCTGTGAAAAGATACTGTCGGCGCAGAGATCGATAACAACGCGTATCATCTCAGCATATAAGACGGTATCTACGAGTGCTGTGTAGGTCCTTGCAAGTGTCCCGCAAGCAGATCTTTTGGCGAGGGAAAGGGAAGAAATGTTTCTCTTTTCTAAAGAAAGAAGTTCCTTGGATGAGGAATTAAGACCAAGCAAGGGCCTGATCCGCAAAGAAGCGAGGCACAGGCTCATAGAAAGATGGCAAGAAAGATGGGATGGTGAGGAGAAAGGTCGATGGACTTATCGCCTTATCCTGGTACTCGCCACCTGGATAAATAGGAAACACGGTCAGGTTTCCTATTACTTGACTCAGGCGTTCACAGGTCACGAGTGTTTTAACTCGTACCTGTGTCGCTTTAAATTACGCGAGAACGAGGTGTGTGCATATTGCCAGTTCCCTGAGGACAACGCGGAGCACACCCTCTTCTCATGCAAGAATTGGGACTTGGAGAGGCGGGCCATGTTCGAAGGTGTAAACAGTCAAGTTACACCGGAGAACATGGTATCACTGATGACCCAGTCGGAAGAGAATTGGCGGCAAGTCGAGAACTTCATAATCTCGGTTATATCGAGGAAGGATCTCGACGGCCGCCAAAAAGCGTAATTTAAACAGCTTTTAATTTGTTTTGTTTGTTTTTTACTAATTTATTTTGTGATTTATTTGTCCTTATACAATTTTAATTTATTCCGTTTTATGTTTTTAATATTATATACGCGTTTATTTTTTTTTCTTTTTTTTTATATATCCGTTTGCAATTTTATCTTTTGACTGTTTACACTTAATTAAACATTTTTTTCATTACTGTTGTGCTGCTAGTTTCGCTTTTATATTGAAATAGTTTTAAATTTTTAACTATTAACGCAGGATGACCGCAGAGAAAAGCAGAAAGTCGCATTAGCGACAGAGTTGGAGCGCCACCCTCGAAGGCTAAAGTCTTACGACAGTTCCGAGGGAGGGTAAAGGGCTCCAAAAGAAGGGTTACGGGTTTTAGTGGGTCGGGCTGGTAGTAGGTCGCCAGTTTGTTAAATTTATTATAACATTTATTTATTTTTCTTTTTTTTTATATTTCCTTTTGTTTTTTTTTATCATACCAACCCCACATAACCTTGGAGTGCGGTATCCAAGGTATCTGTAGGCAGATTTCCCAAAAGTCCCTAAGCAAAAAAAAAAAATAATATTAATAATAATAACAATAATTTTTTTTTTATTCACGGGGGAGAAGAGGAAATGCATTAACGCATGCCCAGGAAGATCCCACTTACCTGGGGTATGTCGGACTCGCACAAAATGCAAGGAAAAAAAGAAACCTCACATACCTGCTTTTACGGCAGTCACAATACCGACTAAAACCTCTTCTTGTTTCCCCTGGGTTTCGAACCTTCTATCCACCTACGGAACTACCTTTCGGCTTCAGACTTCGCAGATGGATGGTCCCATTTAGTCGCTGGCGCGACTCTTCCGTGCCGCTCTTCTTCTGGCCATTATTTTCTCCTTGTTCTTGACAGGGTCTTCTTAGCTTCCTCTAAGGCAGTCTTGAAGACCTTGCACCGACCTGATCCGGCGACGTGTTGGATGTCCTCCTTCTCGCCGAACTTCGCCTGGCATAAGAAGCAGCAGGAGCTCTTCTTACAATCTGCTGCTTTATGGCTTTATGGCAGGCCGTGAAAAGTAGCCAACGCCGTTGCTGGAGGGACCTAATCGGAGATTCCGAGAAGGATCCGTGGGGTTTGGCCTTCAAGATTGTCGCTAAGAAATTAGTGACAAGGCATAAAACCCCTGGTTTGGATGATCCGATTTGGGTTTTGGAAATCATAAAGGCACTATTTCCCTATGTGGAACCTAGCCCCAGAGAGGACTACACTCACTGCGTAGTACGAGACGAGGAGCTCTTCACGATTGAGAAATTAAAAAAAGTAGCAAAGACGTTAAGAAACGGCAAAGCGCCGGGCAATGATGGGATACCGAGCGAAATCTTAAAAGAGATTGTCGCAGTGGATCCTGAGTTGATTCTTGACGTCTTTAATACGTGCTTGACAACCGGAGAGTTCTTCGGTGACTGGAAAACGCAGAAGTTAATCCTTCTCAGGAAAGGCGATAAACCTCTGGATAAGGTAACATCGTTCAGACCAATTTGTTTATTGGATACGATGGGCAAATTTCTAGAGGGAATGGTTCTGCAGAGACTTCAGGAAATCCTGATAGGCGAAAATAGCCTATCAGAGAATCAATTTGGCTTTCGTAAAGGCAGTTCAACAGTTGACGCAATACTCACTGTTGTAAACCATGCAAAGAAAGTCAAAGAGGACAAGAAGAAGGGATTCTCCGCGCTTATTTCCATCGACATACGTAATGCATTTAATTCCGCAAAGTGGGACAATTGCATCAAGGCGATGCGTCATAAAGGGGTACCAACCTATCTGTTACGAATGATAGATAACTATCTCAGCGACAGATGGGTTGAATACAAGAGCGATGCATGTCATCTCAAACATGAAATGACATGCGGAGCTCCCCAAGGATCAAAGGTGGGTCCATTCATATGGAACGTCATGTACGATGATTTCCTTAGAATTGAGTTACCTGAAGATACGATAATGGTTGGCTTTGCGGATGATGTCATTATAGTCTGTGGCGCGCGGACTTCTCGGATTCTAGAAATAAGGGTCAACGAAAGCTTGAGACGAGCAAAGCTCTGGTTAGATCTCAACGGCCTACAAATGGCTACAGAGAAGACAGAAGCTTTGCTTGTCACAGGTAAAAGATACTTTGAGGTCCCGAAGATTCGGATAGGACAGACTGAACTCTCCTGGGGAAATAGTTTAAAGTACCTAGGAGTGACGTTGGATTAAAAATTAAAGTTCGACCAACATTCTAAGATCACGTCACTGAATGCCGCCTACTGTATGGGGAATCTATCGAGAATGATGCCCAATGTCGGTGGCCCCAGGGAAAAGAAACGCCGATTAGTGGCGACCGTGGTTCTAGCAAAGCAGCTCTATGCTGCCCCTGCATGGGCTGAGTCCTTGAAGAACCGCGGCATCTCTGACGAGCTACTCTCCGCACAGGGTGGTTGTGCGCAGAGAGTGGTTTCAGCCTACAGAACGGTTTCAACGAGCGCTGCTCTAGTTCTTGCGAGTCTCCCGCCAGTGGACTTACTGGCGAGGGAAAGACAGGAAGTCTTTCAGCGTAACAAAGATCTAGTTACCTCGCAAGAGCAGAGAGAAGTTGGTGAGTGAAGTTGGCTACTACCTGACACAAGTGTTGTCAGGTCACGGATGTTTCCGACAGTTACTTCATTATTAAAGTATTGAAGGAAAAAGATAGAGACGGAAGACGAGGTTGACCAGAGGAATCCAGTGCTCAGCTGTGTGTGAGCGTGGGAGGGGGGGGAAATCATTTAGTTTTCCTCCCACCCACGCTCCCACATGGCTTAATGGCAAGTTAAGGAGCACGGTAAGGGGACCCCACTTGCGAAGTTTAAGGCCTGACGGTAGTTCCGCAGGTGGATTAAGAGTCCCAAATATGAAGGGAGTGGTTTTTAGTGGGTCGACCAGAAGAAGAGCGGTCATCACCACATAACCTGGAATTCATTACTCAGGTATCTAAATTCGCAGATTTTCCACTTCCGACTACAAAAAAAAATAAAATAATAATAATAATAATTATAATAATAATAATAATAATAATAATAATAATTTTTTTTTATTCACGGGGGAGAAGAGGAAATGCATTAACGCATGCCCAGGAAGATCCCACTTACCTGGGGTATGTCGGACTCGCACAAAATGCAAGGAAAAAAAGAAACCTCACATACCTGCTTTTACGGCAGTCACAATACCGACTAAAACCTCTTCTTGTTTCCCCTGGGTTTCGAACCTTCTATCCACCTACGGAACTACCTTTCGGCTTCAGACTTCGCAGATGGATGGTCCCATTTAGTCGCTGGCGCGACTCTTCCGTGCCGCTCTTCTTCGTGGCCATTATTTTCTCCTTGTTCTTGACAGGGTCTTCTTAGCTTCCTCTAAGGCAGTCCTGAAGACCTTGCACCGACCTGATCCAGCGACGTGTTGGATGTTCTCCTTTTCGCCGAACTTCGCCTTGCATAAGAAGCAGCATGGGCTCTTCTTACAATCTGCTACCTTATGGTCGGCTTCTCCGCACTTGAAGCACGCAGCTGACCTATCTACTGCTTGGCAGTCTCGACCTATATGGCCATAGCCAAGGCACCTGTGGCACCTTGTGACCATAACTCTTCTACTTATTCTGCAGGAAACAAAACCGATTTTAATGTGCCCTATCTTCTCCAGCTTGTTAGCGTCCTCTTTGGAGGTGACCACGACAGCGAACTTAATACCTCGCTTATTTGGTCCGAGGACCGTCACCTTCCTGCTTCCTGCTGGCACCGTAGATAGTTTGTCCAGGGCTTCTTTGACATCCTCCTGTTCGGTAAGGGTGTCCATGTCGCGGATCTCCAGTACAGTCTGCCGATCCGCTATCTGCACCTTACCTAGATCGTTGATCACCTTTGTCACCTCCTCGGTGAACAACTTCCTGTTCGAAAACCCCCTAATTTTAATAAGGAGACTTTGACGACCACTGTGGATCTTCCCTTCTTGTCTGGATTTGGCTTTGGTGCCGGTTTGTTCTCCTTTCCTTTGGACCTTTTGGGAGGTCCCTCCTGCTTTTTCTTTTTTGGGTCCTTCGTAACCTCAGGATCACTTTTTTTTCGCTTCTGAGCCTCCAAGACAACGTTTTTAAGCACTACTGCATTAAAACGATCACGTCTCAGTCTTAGGTCCTTTCGTGCTTCCTCCGACCAAGTCAGTCCCTGGTAGAACCTCTCGTCTTTTGTGGCCGCTGCTGCGTGCTTCTCCTTTAACTCCCTTATGAGCGATGTTAAGCTTCTGAGTCCATCCTTGATTGATGAAGCCACTACAGAGAGTGAGGTGACTTCAGCATTGAAGGAAAAGCTGGGAAAATCCGACCTGATTATGGAGTGCAAATTATTGCCGCGCTACAGAGGAACTAAGGTTGCTCTAATCCGCTTAGCAGAAACAGAAAGTGACATTCTGCTGAAACTTGGCCGAATCAAAATCGGCTGGATAAATGCTCCAATTCGCGAGCATGTTGATGTAGCTAGGTGCCAAAAGTGCCTAGGTTACGGACACAGAACCCTATCCTGCAAAGGCCCCGACAGAAGTAAAAACTGTCGAAGATGCGGCGGAGAGGGACACCTCGCGAAGAGCTGTAACGTTAAGCCGTATTGCCTTACTTGCTTGGACCTGGGGAAGCCGGAAACGGATCATGAGTCCGAAAAAAGAGCCTGCCCGGTTTACAGGGAAGAACTGCAAAGGATTAAAAGGGCAAATCCTTAAAATTTTTGCAGGTCAACCTGCATACAAGTAAGGATGCACAGCTACTCCTAATACAAACAGCAAGGGAAAATGAGGTCGATATCCTGTTTTGCAGTGAGCAGTATCAAGGAAGCGACCTCGCCCCTTGGTATCAGGATAAGGCGAAGAGAGCCGCCATAAAGCTGTGCAACCCAAAATTGCGGGTTGACAAGTTTCTGGAGACGAGCAGTGGGTTCGTGTGGATAGAGGTGGCTAATATACGTATGTATAGCTGCTACTTCTCACCCAACGACCCACTGACAAACTTCGAAGCCAATATCGAAGACCTAGAAGCGAGCCTCACAGAATCCAGGCTAGATGTCATCATCACTGGTGATTTTAACGCAAAGTCGCCAGAGTGGGGTGAGACGAGACTCGACAAGAGAGGAATTCGTATTGGAGAAATGATCTCCAGAAACGACTTATTGGCAGTAAACCGAGGCAATACATTGACTTTTAGACGAGGTGCGATCGGATCAATTATAGATCTAACAATCGCATCGTCTAAACTATTTAGCCGCATAACCGACTGGCGGGTCTCAGAGGAATATACCGCAAGTGACCACCAGTACATTGAGTTCTCAGTCTCGATGGGAGGCACACGAGGAGAAAAAAGACAGGATGTTCCTAGTCGCAAAACCTCCTCGTGGAATATGAAGAGACTCGACAAGGAAAAGTTCGGCCGGTCCCTAAGAGAAGCCCTTTTGATTGAGGACTTGGGCTGGGTGAAGAGGCCGAGCAGTCTGGATGGGAAGGTGCGAGCGGTGAGAAACATGATAGTCACCGCTTGCAATGCGTCAATGCCACGCAAAGGCGCCATTCCCGTAAGAAAATCCTTGCACTAGTGGTCAGAGGAGCTGGCCTCCTTGAGGAAGGAATGCCTCAAAGCAAGAAGGACATATACCAGATCTAAGGGAGATCCCTTGCTGAAAGAGGCTTTTAAGGAGGCGAAAAAGAACCTCAAGAAAGAGATCCGCAAGTCGCGACGCCGTAGCTGGAAGGACCTAATCGAGGAAGTCGATAAGGACCCATGGGGTCTGGCTTTTAAAATCGTTACTAAGAAATTAGCGACGAGGCAAAAGACCCCCGGCCTGGACAATCCCGATTGGGTCAGAAAGATAATAAGTTCTTTGTTTCCTCCTGCGGAGCCATACCTTAGAAGGGACTGGAGTTTTTGCAAAGTCGAAGAGGAAGAACTCTTCACACTTAGTGAACTGCAAAAAGCAGGCAAAAGATTGAAAACAGGCAAGGCGCCTGGAATCGATGGGATAAGTAACGAGATCCTAAAGTTGGTAATCGACACTTCACCCCAGATTCTGCTTCGATGCTTCAATCTTTGCCTTGAGAGAGGAGAGTTCTTCCGCGACTGGAAGCGACAGAGGTTAGTCCTCCTAAGGAAAGGTGAAAAACCTCTAGATAAGGTTTCATCGTACAGGCCTATATGCCTGCTAGATACGATGGGTAAACTTCTAGAGGATATGGTTCTGCAGAGAATGCAAAGCCACTTGACCGAAGAGAATCGTCTATCCGATCACCAATTTGGTTTCCGTAAAGGCAAGTCCACGGTTGATGCCATCCAGGCAGTTGTGGACATAGCCAAAGCAGGAAAAAACAAATTGGGACCTGGGAAAAAGAAGAGCTTCTGCGCGTTGGTAGCAATTGACATACGCAACGCGTTTAATTCCGCAAGATGGAAAGATCTCATCGAGTCGATGGAAAAGAAAAACATGCCGCCCTACTTGTTGCGGATAATGGATAATTATCTTAGCGACAGGTGGGTTATATATGAGGGAGACACCTGCACTCTCAAGGAAGAGATGCAGCGTGGGGCTCCTCAAGGCTCGAGGGTGGGTCCATTTGTATGGAATGTATCTTACGATGATTTTCTGCGAATAGATCTGCCCGAAGGTGCGGTGATCATCGGCTTTGCGGACGACGCGTTATTCGTGTGCACTGCCGAAAGTGAGGAGGCTCTTGGGACAATGGTGAACCAATGTCTCCGACTAGCTAAAAGCTGGCTGGATACCAGAGGTCTTGAAATGGCCCTGGAAAAGACCGAGGCACTGCTGGTCACAGACAGACGTGGTTATGAGCTCCCACGAATCGTGATAGACGGATTCGAGGTCAAGTGGAGTAAGCAAATTAAATATCTTGGTGTGGAGTTAGATGGAAGGTTAAACTTCCACCACCACATGGCTACGGCGTCAAAAAAGGCGATCGAGTGTGCGGCTAATCTTTCACGGCTAATGCAAAATGTTGGCGGACCCCGTGAACAAAAAAGAAGACTGGTGGCGAGTGTCGCCCACGCTAAAATGCTCTATGCAGCACCAGCGTGGGCCCCATCCCTGAGGAGTAAAAGATGTGTGATTATCTGTGAAAAGATACTGTCTGCGCAGAGATCGATAACAACGCGTATCATCTCTGCATATAAGACGGTATCTACGAGTGCTGTGCAGGTCCTTGCAAGTGTCCCGCCAGCAGATCTTTTGGCGAGGGAAAGGGAAGAAATGTTTCTCTTTTCTAAAGAAAGCAGTTCCTTGAATGAGGAATTAAGACCAAGCAAGGGCCTGATCCGCAAAGAAGCGAGGCACAGGCTCATAGAAAGATGGCAAGAAAGATGGGATGGTGAGGAAAAAGGTCGATGGACTTATCGCCTTATCCCGGCACTCGCCACCTGGATAAATAGGAAACACGGTCAGGTTTCCTATTACTTGACTCAGGCGTTCACAGGTCACGGGTGTTTTAACTCGTACCTGTGTCGCTTTAAATTACGCGAGAACGAGGTGTGTGCATATTGCCAGTTCCCTGAGGACAACGCGGAGCACACCCTCTTCTCATGCAAGAAATGGGACTTGGAGAGGCGGGCCATGTTCGAAGGTGTAAACAGTCAAGTTACACCGGAGAACATGGTATCGCTGATGACCCAGTCGGAAGAGAATTGGCGGCAAGTCGAGAACTTCATAATCTCGGTTATGTCGGGGAAGGATTTTGACGGCTGCCAAAAAGCGTAATTTAAACAGCTTTTAATTTTGTTCGTTTGTTTTTTATTAATTTATTTTGTGATTTATTTGTCCTTATACATTTTTTAATTGTTTGTGTTTTTTTTATTCATCTTTGTACAGTTTTATGTTTTCAATTTTTCATACGCGTTTATTTTTTCTTTTTTTTATATATCCGTTTATAATTTTATCTTCTGACTTTTTACACTTAATTACACATTTGTTATTTTTAATTATTGTTGTGCTGTTAATTCCGCTTTATATTGAAATAGTTTTAAATTTTTAACTATTAACGCAGGATAACCGCAGAGAAAAGCAGAAAGTCGCATTAGCGACAGAGTTGGAGCGCCACCCTCGAAGGCTAAAGTCTTACGACAGTTCCGAGGGAGGGTAAAGGGCTCCAGAAGAAGGGTTACGGGTTTTAGTGGGTCGGGCTGGCAGTAGGTCGCCAGTTTATTAAATTTACTATTTTATATATTTATTTTTCAATTTTTTTATTTCCTTTTGTTTTATCACACCAACCCCACATAACCTTGGAGTGCGGAGTCCAAGGTATCTGTAGGCAGATTTCCCAAAATTCCCTAAGCAAAAAAAAAAAAATAATAATAATAATAATAATAATAATAATAATAATAATTCCTGCTCGTTTAACAATAAAGTCAGCTATTGAAACAGCTCGAAAAGTTGTAAGGAAAGCAGGTGGTAGAGAAAAGGTTTTAACACCTCGTATTCTACCTGTCCCATCAAAAGTTGGTGGTCTTTTACCATTAATTCCAATTTTTGCTGGTCTAAGTGCACTTGGAGCGCTTACTGGGGGAGCTGCTGGTGTAGCAAAAGCTGTTAATGATGCAAGTGCAGCAAAAGAGCAGTTGAAGGAAGCTCAGCGCCACAATAGAGAGTTAGAAGCAGTTGTACTTGGTAAAGGTCTACATTTAAAACCATACCGACAAGGTTTGGGACTTCATTTGAAACCATACGTTTAAGGACAAGGTATTAAAAGACGATGTAGAAAAAAAAGTTTAAAGATGCCTCAACGAGCACTTACAGATCTAGATTTACTTAAATATG